CACACATTCTGAGCACATTAACAAGAAGCAAAAGTTTAAAGTTCACAATTATGGGTAAAGCTAAAGCTGTCACAGAGGGCAAGCGAGGAGGAGGAGGGCTGGTGAGATGAGAGAAGAGTGGAGGCGACGACTGAAGCTGCAGACACTCGGGCAACAGACGGCTCTGGTGCAACGCTGGTGGCTACCGGGAGGAGAAAGGCCCCGGAATACAGGAGTAACAGGCTCTGCAACTGATCAGCCAGCGACAGTAGCAACGGACCCACGGGCGACAGGTGCAACCGGCTCTCTGAGCTACCGGGAGAAGAAAGGCCCCGGAATACAGGTGCTGCGGACGACACGACGGCAACCTCCGCTCAACCTCCTCCAACTGCCCCACACACCCCTCGACACACACCCCCTGCTGAACCCTAGCTCCACTCCCACGGTACCCCCCTTAAACCCCAAACCCTAGGCTCCCACACACCACCCCCCTCAGTGGCAGCTGTAGCAGAGGGAGACTAGGGAGGAGGAGGAGGAGCAGGGAACGGCACTCAGTGGCTTCACCCCCATACCCCTCACCCCCAAACCCTAATTCAGGAGAACGGGCTGTAGGAGGGGTAGGGCGCCAGTAGAAGCACGGAGGACAGTGGGGAGGGCAGGTGCAGCGAGGAACGGGCCGCCCACGGGCCTGGCACAGCCGCCCGAACCGCGCGCAGGCGGCCCGAGCCGCGCGCGGGCCTGGCGCTTCCCGTACGGGCCGCGCGCGGGCCTGGCGCAGCCCGTACGGGCCGCGCGCGGGCCTGGCGCAGCCCGTACGGGCCACGCACGGGCCTGGCGCAGCCCGTACGGGCCGCGCGCGGGCCTGGCGCAGCCCGTACGGGCCGCGCGCAGGCCTGGCGCAGCCCGTACGGGCCGCGCGCCGGCTGTACGGGCCGCGCGCAGGCCACGACGGGCGACGGGGGGGCGATTCGACGGTGGGGGGGTGCGCGCGGGTCCCCGGAGGCGACTCGAGGGTCGACGGGGGCGACGCGACGTGCAGGGTGGGGGCCGCGAGTGCTCCCCAGGGCGCCGCGACGGACGGGCGGGGTGCGCGCGGGCTCCCCCACGGCTGGAAACCGCCGCGCGCCTCGGCGCGCACGGCGGGCAGGGAACCGCCGCGCGCCCCGAGCGCGCGGCGGGATGAAAAATTGAAGGCCGCGCGCCACGGGGCGCGCAGCACAGAGTAGGGCAGCGGAAGCAGTAGTGGGGCCCACAGGCCAAGAGCGTAACCGCTCTGATAGCATGTCGGAATAGTAGGTATAGTGAGAGGCCATAGCTAGGAGAACCCTAGCTAGGCAAGAGAGAATTGAACGGAAGAGAGGTTTTGCACTAGCAACAACGGTGGTACAAATAGCTAACCCTAGAAGGGCTGTACTCGCTATAGAGCACCCCACTGCAGGCTAGAACATAATATTCTGACAAGCTCTGCCTTCGGATGAGTCCGTAGAGCCGAGTGGCCCGTATCCAGAGCTTGTGGGCTGCCTCATGTACCTGATGACCTGCACTCGACCTGACCTTGCATACCCTCTTAGCATCCTAGCTCGCTACGTCGCGCCTGGCCGTCACCGGAAGGAGCACATGGATGCTGCTAAGAGGGTGTTGCGCTACTTGTGCAGTACGTCGGGCATGGGGCTTGTGCTTGGAGGGCGAGACCGGGTTGTTCTCACAGGGCACTCAGACGCTTCTTGGGCAGACGACCAGGCTACTCAGCGGTCGTCCCAGGGTTACACCTTCAGTCTTGGCTCTGGCTCAGTTTCTTGGCGTTCTACTCGCTCTTCTTCTGTTCTCAGCTCCAGTTGTGAGGCTGAGATCTACGCCACAGCCATGGCTGCTCAGGAGCTACGCTGGCTGACCTACCTGCTGACCGACCTCGGAGAGCGGCCTCGTTCTCCTCCAGTACTGTACGTCGACAACAAGGCTGCCATTGCCTTGTGTGAGGAGCACAGATTGGAGCACAGAACGAAGCACATCGCTCTGCGGTACTTCCTTGCTCGAGAGCTGCAGCAGCGTGGTCAGCTTTGTCTGCGTTACGTGGCCACGGAGGCCAACACTGCTGATGTGTTCACCAAGGTGCTTCAGCCTTGTGACCATCAGCGCTTTTGCACGCTGCTAGGCCTTGTACCTACTGGGCCTCACTTGCTTACCTCTTGACCTTGCTTGTACTGTGATCACTATATATATATGCCTACTTGTTTACTTTTGCTAGGTTGTGATCACTGTATCTCTTGCTTTGTTATAAACCTGCATGTGAACTGGTCTTGTGACCGCTTGTTTGTGCTCGGAATTTGTGTGGAATCCTTGAGATCCACCCTGAGCTTGCTTTGCTTTGCTTTGACTGGTCTTGTGACCCTGTGGTTGTCTCCCACTGCGCCTATGGGGGTGTGTCAAACATTGCATGTTTATATTGTCTAGGCTGTAGTGGGTTATACCTTAGGGGGTACACAAAGTTAGGGTTTCCTACTTGTACCACATTCTGTGCTAGTTCATTCATTCCTGCTCAGTTATTTCTGACAGTGGTACCAGGAGTAAGCGCGTTACTTAGCCATATAAGTGGTACTAAGAGTAAGTGCGTTACTTAGAAATATGAGTGGTATTAAGAGTACGCGCGTTACTTAGCCATATGAGTGGTACTAAGAGTAAGAGCGTTATTAAGCCATATGAGTGGTACTAAGAGTAAGTGCTTTACTTAGCCATGTGAATGGTACAAACAGTAAGCTCGTTACTTAGCCATATGAGTGGTACTAAGAGTAAGCACGTTACTTAGCCATATGAGTGGTACTAAGAGTAAGCACGTTACTTAGCCATATGAGTGGTACTAAGAGTAAGAGCGTTATCTAGCCATATAAGTGGTACTAAGTGTAAGCGCGTTTTTTAGCCATATGAGTGGTATTAACAGTAAGCGCGTTAGTTAGCCATATGAGTGGTACTAAGAGTAAGCGTGTTACTTACCCATATGGTTGGTACTAATAGTAAGTGCGTTACATAGCCATATGAGTGGTATTAAAAATAAGTGCATTACATTGCTAAATAAGTGCTACTAGGAGTAAGCGCTTTACTTAACCATGTAAGTGGAACTAAGAGTAAGAACGTTATTTAGCCATATGAGTGGTACTAAGAGTTAGCGCGTTACTTAGCCATATGTGTAGTACTAACAGTAAGCGCGTTTCTTAGCCATATTAGTGGAACTAAGAGTAAGCGCGTTACTTAGCCATATGGATGGTACTAATAGTAAGTGCGTTACATAGCCATATGAGTGGTACTAAGAGTAAGTACGTTACATAGGTAAATAAGTAGTACTAGAAGTAAGCGCGTCACTTAGTCATATGAGTGGTACTAAGAGTAAGAGCGTTATTTAGCCATTTGAGTGGTACTAAGAGTAAGTGCGTTATTTAGCCATATGAGTGGTACTAAGAATAAGCGCGTTACTTAGCCATATGAATGGTACTAAGAGTAAGCGCGTTACTTAGCCAAATGAGTGGTACTAAGAGTAAGCGCATTACTTAGCGATATGAGTGGTACTAACAGTAAGCGCTTTACTTAGCCATATAAGTGGTGCTACGAGTAAGCGCTATACTTAGCAATATGAATGGAGTTTTTTTTTCTTTTTTTTTGTTTTTTTTTTTTTAACTTAAGTGAAAGCTCTTACAAGAAAATGCACAAGCAAAACACTACAGTCGTAACTGTTTCCGTAGGGCTCAAGCTAGTCGAAAAACCTAGCCCCCCCTGCGAGCTTTCGGTGGTTTCGTGAAAGTCCTCGGGTTCGTCCAGATGACTGGAACCCTGCCTGCCATCTCACAGATCTGCCACAGATCTGCTTCATGATTCGTGCCTCATCAATGACCAAATTCCACCTCGCCTTATCTCTTTGCGCCTGCTTACTAGGCCTGCCACAGTAGATCCTTGCATGCTTATTAAACTCCACATTTATCCTCCGAAGCACCCTCTGAGAGAGTCTCTGATGTGCCTCCCCCTGTCCCAATCAACCTTCCTGTCCGCCTGGGCCTCCCAAATCGCTTGCTTTGCCTCCACCGCTTCCACACCTTTGCTTGGCTCCCTGAGCCTCCTCAGCTGAGTCACCACTTCCCCTTCAAACAAGGTTGACCCTAACATCCGCGCTCTTGGATCCCCCGCCTCCCTTACCGCCAGCGACATGGTTTGCTTCATTGGTACCACGCCGCACATCCCAAAACAATTTTGACATTCCGGGCTGTGCGCTCTCCTCTCCCGTTCAACCCACACAGCTCAACTTTCCTCCCAGACAGTTGCAGATCTCCCACAAACACCTTTGCCTTCCCGGAAGCTTGGTGCTTACTACCATTGACTCGGCTGCCACCTCTTCCGCCGTTAGTGGAGCCAGAAGCCACTTCCTTCACTGCTCCGGCGCTGCGGAGAACACTTTTAGTGCCATTTCCGCCTCTTTCTTCCCTCCCAATTTCCTTGTTAGCGTTTCCTTCGACCCCCGCAGCATGGTGCCATCCCACTTCCGTAGAACCATGTCTCGCATCTTCCACTTGCGCAGCTTCTTGGTTCCTGCCTGCCCGCCAAAGGGGACACTCCCCCGATGGATGATGTTTTTGTTATAGCACAGGAACTTCTCCGCTGCCTCCCATCTTGATGCTGCAACCTATACTTTCACCACCGACGACTTGAGCACTGCTTTGCAGAGTCTTGCCCATCGTCTTGAGCACGGCTTTGTGTGCGTACAGCGTCGCCCAGCCCAGCGATAGACCCGCCGTGCGCTCCGTCACCCCCCGCCGGAGAGGACATTCTTGCGACAGCGCCAGTTCCACACACCTCAGAGCCACGCTGTCAATCCTTCCTCGCGGGTCGACCACTCCCAGCCCACCGAGCTCCCTTGGTGCATATATCTGCCCGCCGCTCCAGAGCCTGAAATGCTTCTCTGTATCCGCACGATTGCCTGACACAAAATTCTCAATCAGTGTTTCCACCCGTCTCCACAGCAGGTCGTCCGGAGGGTACACCTACGCCTGGAAGAGAAACACCGGTAACACGTAGCTGTTTATGATGATCACCCTCGCCCTTGTCGTCAAGTACTTTGATTTCCACTTGCTCAGTTCCCCCACCGCCCTATCGAATGCCTTCTCCCACGTAACCTCCGCGTTTCCACCCGGTGTTATCCACACCCCCAGCAGTCTCTCTGCAACATCCTTCTCGATCCACTTGTAGCTTAGCCCATCCGGCGCAGGCTCCCCCACGTTCTTTCCCAACGGAAGCACCGCGGACTTCCCGGCGTTCACCTTTAGCCCCGACGCTGCCGCATACTCTTGTAACATAACCCCCGCCTCTTTCAGCTGTGCTTCCCCTTCCAACAGCCAAGTCGTGTCATCCGCGTACCCCACATACGCTAGTCTCTCGCAGCCCTTCTCTCCGATTCCCAGCTTTCTCTGCTCCGCCAGCTGGCTCAGAGGTTCCACAGCGCATAAGAAGAGGTATGGCGCAAGCGGGCAGCCTTGCCGCACCCCTTTCCGCATCTGTATCTGGTCACCAACCCACCCGTTGATACACAGCCTTGTGTGTACATCACTGTGCAGGTCCTTAATCCACCCCACGAAACGCGGGGGAAAACCAAGCTTGGCGATCGTGTTCAGCATGAAGCCCTGCAGCACCGAGGCATACGCCTTTTCGAAGTCGATGAGTAGAAGATACCAGTCACTACCCTCGTTTTTGGCCGCCTCAATCATGTCCGCAGCCAAAGACACCGCATCTGTGAGCCGCCTGCCAGGTAAGAAACCGTATTGCTCCTATAAAATTACTTGGTTTAAAACCGCCTTCATCCTTGTCGCCACCACCTTTGCGAGTATTTTGTTGACGCTAGTCAGCAGCGTTATAGGCCTGTAATTCCTGACATCTGTCTCCTCGCCCTTTTTGTAAAGCAGAATCGTGAGCGCTTCATTAGCCACCTCCGGCAGCTCCCCTATTGCAACGAAACGTCTGACCATGCGCATCACTGGCTCTTTTAGCAACTCCCACTGATATTGAAAAGGCTCTTTGGGAAGACCATCCCCCCCAGGTGGCTTATCATTGGCCAGTTCCCTAATTACTTGCTTAACTTCCTTCTCTGTCCAATCCCTCGACAGAGCCTCCGCAGATGCCTTCTCTAGTACCTTTCTCGGCGTCCAATCTAACCCCCGCTCCCCTCCAGCACCCAGAGCCTGCTCGTCAAACACCTCCGCGAAATGGCTTGTGGCTGCACCCAGGATTTCCCGTGCCTCGGTAGAACTAACGTCATTCCGTACTAGCTCCTTGATTCCCGATTTTGCTTCCTGCTTTCAATCAACGCCGACAGGAGGCTAGTAGGTGCTTCACCATTGAGCTACACTTTTAGTCCCGTCCGCAGTTGCATGAGATTCCTTCTGCCGTCCCAGTCTCTCTGCAGCATGGCCTCCCTGCTCGTCAGGAGAGCCTGTAATTTGTCATCACCCAGGTCCTCCATCACCTTTCGCTGCAACGCGCCAACTTGCTCCTCCAGTACGCCTAGTCTGTTTAACCCTCCTCTTCTCTTCCTTGTCATTCTTCCGCAGGCGAGCCCCGAGGCGCCTAGAAAGATTATCAAAGTCATCGCTCCCCTCCTCGCGATGCTTACGGATCACCTCAGCTACCGCCACTTCCACGCCAGGGCGCTTTGCCAACCTTGCCGGAAACCGCCAGATACCAGGACCAGGCTCCTGCGAACCTTTCCACACCAACTGCACCCTGACTGCAAACTTGTGGTCGGTGATCCCCTTTGGAATCCACTTGTGAGTCGCTCTGGTTACCAAGTGCAACAGCGACTGCGAAATCAGCAGCCTGTCGATCCTCGAGCTGACTTTTGCCGACGCGCAGTAGAAGGTAAACTGCCATTCATCCAGGTTCAGCTCCCGGAACACATCCTTCACGTGAAAGTCTTTCAGCATATGAACCATCCTGTTATTGTCACCAACCACAATATGACGATTCAACTTATCCAGGATCGGGTCTTGAATCATGTTGAAATCCCCAGCCACTACAAGCTGCTCCCCCCTTGGCAGGGCCGTGGCAACACTACTGAACTCCGACCCCAGGAAACTGCCTCTCGATGGTGCTTGCGTAGGGAAATACACCACCAGAAGCCTCATCTGCCTCGCTCCCCACCGGACTCTTGCATGGAGCAACCTGCCTGACGCATGCCGCTGGACATCTTCCACCAGCACCCCATCCCGGAAGCTTAAAATGGCCACCCCACTTGCACTAGTAGGTGCGCCTACTGCTGCCATGCTATGTGGGTTCAACTCTGTCCAAAAGTTGTGATCCTCTGCCACTCTCATATCAGCTAGCACCACCGTATCTGCAACTAACTTAATCCATCTTTTCAACGCTTGCCTTTTTCCTTCGCTCTCCAAACCGTTGACATTAAGGACAGGATGGTGAGGCGGTTGGCGATACTCATTGTTCAACCATCTTTGAAGCCCCCTTCCATCCACAGGGCAATAAGAACACAACTGGAAAACTGACTATATTGCATGGCATACAACAAAGACAACAACTACTCCGTCTAAGTGGGGAGCAGCCGCATGGGTCAGGGAGGTACGAGCGACCTCCATGACTAAGCCAATGCGGCGCTCAGCAACCCCATTCTGCTGTGGAGAGGTCGGAAGCGTGAACGACTGCTCAATGCCGTGCTCAGCACAGTAGGCTGCCAAGAGGTCGGAGGCAAACTCACCACCTCTGTCAGAGTGCAAGCGCAGGACAGGAAAGTCCGAGTGAAAGCGCTCGCCTAGCTGGAGACGGGCTCGGCTGATCCAGGGGATCAAAACACCAGGGACGTCACCCTTGGCGCGCAAGGGGAAGACCGTGGTGTAGCGCGAGTAGTCGTCAACAACTATCAGGAAGTACCTCTCCTGACCCTGACCACGGACGCGGGCTGGGCCCCACACGTCCATGTGGAGCGTCTGTAAGGGAGCAGTCGTCGGGGGAAAGGAGGAGGAGTGAGGAGCGGCGCGCTGCCGCCCCTCGACACAGGGAATGCAGTCAGGAGCAGGGGAGTCAGGAAGGGGAGGGAGCACCCTGGGAAGACCAGCAACAAGGTCCCGTTTGTGCATGGCCCGAAGGCGCTGCACAGACGGGTGACCAAGGCGGTGGTGCCAAAGGACGGTGTCGTTCGCCAGAGAGCGACACGAGCAGGGGGCGGACAGCTGACCTGACGCTGACGCAGACGCAGCTACCTGAGGGGACTCAGTGGTCAGTGTGTACAGGTCAGACCCCGGCTCTCGAGTGAAAGTAGCTAGGTGGCGGCCCGTCCGAGCACACGTGCAGTGAGTCACACGCTCGTAGGCAGGGGTGAACTGGTGAACACCCCCGTCCTGGAGCGCACTACCTGCCACCAAGTTCGTGGAGAACGAGGGGAGGTAGAGACCTGAGAGCGTGCCGGACGGAACCGCTGGACACGGAAGGGTGGTGGAGGAGGTCGCAAGGACCGGACCCCCAGAGGGGTCAGCAAGAGAGACAGCAACCGGCCGAGCTAGAGGCTCAAGGACAGTGCGGTCACGAAAGAAAGAGCGAGAAGCACCTGAGTCCAGTGTGAAGGTGTGCAGTGCTGCAGTCGACTCAGTACCAGGGGGCACAGACGCACAAGCACCTAGAGCAGCAGCTGCAGTAGTACCTGTGGGAGCAGACACACTAGCACCTAGAGCAGCAGCGGGGCTGGCCTGAATGCCCGGGTCGGGCGGAACACGCAAGTACTGAGCACCCTCTCCACTAATAGACATCGCATACATGGCAGTGAGGATAGCATCAAAGTCTAGTGCCCAAATATCAACACCCTTCCTGAGCAGCTCAGCCCAGCGCGGCAGCTCACCCCCACCAGGAAACTGGGTGCGCCACGCGTCGTTGAGGCGGGCGAAGCAGCGCTCCGTCTGGTGCGGCCCCCCACACGTCTGGCCAGTGCGGTCACCTGTGCGAATAACGTACTGGCAGGTGACGCTGCGTCGCGCATACCACTCACGGGCGGCCTGAAGGGTCGGGGCAGGCTGCTGACTCTGACCGCCCCCCGGGCCTCCACGACCACCACCCCCTCCGCCTCCGCCCCGGCCACCTCCACCCCTGCCGCTGCCACGACCACCTCCGCCTCCGCTGCCACCTCCGCCCCTGTCACCACTTCCGACGCCGCTGTCACCTCCACCACTGCCGCCACTAGCCTCTCCAGTCGCACCTCCACCGCCACCACCTCCACCCCCGCCTCCTCCGCCACCACCCCCACTCCTGCCACTCCTGCCCCTGCGTCGTCCGCCTGAAGCAGACGCAGCCCCGACCTTCTCAGCACCAAGGAGGTCGACAGCAGCAGCAGATGCGACAGAGGGGAGGAGGGGGGAAGGGGAGCACCCCTCGAAGAAGGGGCCGCGGGGGTCGCCACGAGAGGTGCCTACAGCGACGATACTAGCCTCGGCTGCAAGCAGTTCCTTCTCGAGGAGGTCTACGGTGAGCTCAGTGGGGGAGCGAGAGAGGAACTGGTCCCTGACAGGGCGCAGAGAGTCAGGGAGGCGGGTGACAACGTGGTAGAGAGTGATCCAGAGCGGGGGGGGGTTGCTAGCGAGGAACTCGTCAGGCATGGCAGCGCGAAAGCGAGCCTCACTAGTCTTAAGGTGGGTGATGAGGTCTGCGACAGTGTGAAAGGAGGCTAGGTCGGGGAACAGGTAGGGGAGAGTGAGGCGGCCTAGCGTGGCAGAAGCGGGTGAGGAGTAGCGGGCCACTACAGCTGTGTAGAGGTCCTTAGCAGTCTTGCACTGGCCGAAGTGCTCGCGCTCATCTAGCGGCAGGGAGTTGCGAATAGCAAAGCGAGCGTGCGCGTCACGGGTCTGCCACTGTGAGCGCTCAGCTGGGGGGGCAGTAGCGAGTGGGGCGGTCGCATGGCCGAGAGCGTGGTCGTACAGTGTAATATCTTCCTTGGCAGTGAGCTGTAGGAAAAGGTGCAGGTCATCTAGCCAGGTTTCGAATTTGACCGGACGGCCCTCGGCGTCGAAAGCTAGAACAGGAGGACTAGCCATAGTGACAGCGGCAGGAGTAGAAGCAGTAAAGACACTGAAAAGGCGTGCGCAGGGTCAGCGGGGCCGGTGGGGCCTACGGACTGTAGTGGCGCACAAGCAGCAGTAGCAGGAAGTGTAGTAGCAGGATCTGCAGTGGTGCACAGGCGCAGCAGGCGGCAGCGAGAGCCGGCGCAGCAGGGGCGGGCTCAGCAGCGGTGATACGCGGGCAGCGGCGGGCGCAGCAGCGGCGGGCCGGTAGCAGGCAGTGCGCGGGCCGCGCGGGCCGGTAGCAGGCAGTGCGCGGGCCGGTAGCAGGCAGTGCGCGGGCCGCGCGGGCCGTCGACGGTCAGCGCACGAGCCGCGCAGGCTCAGCGCGGGCTGCGCGGGCTGCTCGCGGGCTGCGTAAGCGGGTCGCGGGCGGCTCGCGGGGGTTCGCGGGCAGGTCGCGGGCTGCTCGCGGGCAGTTCGCGGGCTGTGTGCGGGCTGCGCGGGCT